TATTATTAATAATAATAATAATAATAATAATAATAATAATAATAATAATAATAATAACAACAACAACAATAACAATACTGCTACTACTAAGAATAATAATAACCATAACGATAACGATAACGATAACAATAACAATAACAATAACAATAACAGTAACAATAACAATAACAATAATAATAATAATAATAATAATAATAATAATAATAATTATTATTATTATTATTATTATTATTATTTATTATTATTATTATTATTATTATTATTATTTATTATTATTATTATTATTATTATTATTATTATTATTATTATTATTATTATTGTTAATAATAATAATAATTATTATTATTCATCAAATATCCGTGGCTGGACCCCCACCGGGGTCCTAGACGTTTCCCCGGCCCCCAGCCAAGTGAGACTCGATTCGTTTTACTAGCCCCCCCCCCGTCGGGGCCTGTAGCCCCTCCGTCGGACAGGTATTGGCGCCATCACTGCAGCAGTAGCAGCAGCAGCAGTTGGCCTATAATGCTATATTATAGAACTGCCTATCTTTGAATTTGTTTAGATGGCGATCAAGGCGATGTACGTTTGTTTGGAGGTTATAGTGGAAATCAAGGGACTCTTGAAGCATACCTATATGGCAATTGGGGTACCGTGTGCTCGTACAATTGGAACAAAGTCGCATCAGACGTTGTCTGCAGACAACTTGGTTATGATAGAGCTGAAGACTGGTCAGACAATTCTTACAGAGCATATAAAACAATCCATAAAGTAGTAATTGAGTGTACAGGAGAAGAGTCTCAACTGAGTGATTGTAATTTCAACACTGAAAATTTTGTTGTCTGTACACATGATGATGATGTTGCACTAACGTGTGTGCATGCAGGTGAGACTATCTTGTGCATCATCTAGAATTATTACAGGTTAAAAATTTCCAAGTGTATATTATGACCAGTTCTTCTATTTCTGGTTCTGGTGGGAGAATCCAACATCTTCAAAATTTTCAACAGTAGCGGCATGACAGGACGGGTATTATAATGTCGAATGATAAAAAATAAAAAAAAATTTCACAACCGCATTTTAAACAAAATAGAAATATTCATCAATTTCACAGCTCAAGTACATGCTAAGTTATATGTATAATATGAAAAACATCAATAATACATATAGCCATGACTTTCTTTGTTTACTTCAAACTCAAAGTGACTCTGACATCAGACTTGTACAGCTATATATTGATTGAGATGCGCATATCTTGCTGTTGTGGCATGAAGCGTGATAATATTTTGTGCCTGATCAGACCTTGGTTTCTATTGAATGAAAACACTATAAAATTCCGATTCATCATCATCATCGCCATCATATTGTCATTATCATAATCATCACCATAATTACTAGTATCATCGTTATCATCATCATCATCATCATCATCATCATCATCATCATCGACGTGATCAACAACAACAACAGCATCATCATTGCTGTATTGTTTATTGTTTGTTTCAGTAAATAACTCTTGTAAATAATTGTATCATTTTGTATTTTCTGTTTTATTTATGTCTAACTTTATACTTTTTTCTTTGCATCGGGAAGACGAATTTTAATTGTAGTTTATGTACCAGTGACAATGAAAGAATCAGACTTGTATCTTGTATCTTGTTGTATTAATGTATATGGCAATAAAATTAAATCTGAATCATGACGTCGGAAATAATAATTGTATGCAAATAGCTCTAATCTCCATATACTTGCATTTAAAAAACAAAAAACAAAACAAATAAAAAAACAAACAAACACACTTTTATACATTTTTTTCTCAGGATTATCCGGTTATGCTATTGCAGCAATCATTGTTGGAGTCATTGTGTTTGGTTGCATCTTAGTGTTCATGGTGTGCGTGTTTTATCACTGCTGCGAGAAAACAACTCCACGACCTTCAAACACGTTTGCTACCAGCCATCTACAAGTACCCAACGTTTCTCTACAGATCCAAAGTTATGGGTATCAACCTAGTCCTATTTACCCTGCAGCCCGATCGGCATGGTCATCGGAACCACCGCCTTCATATAATAGTGTAGTCAACAATCCAAATACATTTACATCGGCTCCTGTACATACATACATCCTGTAGAAACGTCTCCACCAGCTTTCATACCATACCAACCACACTTGAATCAGGGTGTTGACCAAACGGCATAATAGTGCTGAAATGCACAATAATATCCCAGGTGGTAACGTTTTATACAATCCGCTTGGAATTTTATACAAAACTGCTTGGATTATTTATTGTTGTTGGTTGGACTCAGCTAGTCAATTAGTCTTTTATGTATATATAATTTATATATAGGCCTATATATAATATTAATAATAATATTTTTATATAGGCCAACATTATTTAATTGTAATGCTTAGTATATTTTAATTACTATTTTTAATCACCGCGGCGCGCCACTTCCTGTTCTTACTTTGTTTTAACCATAGCACTATGCTTAGACTTTTAATTATCATCAGCTATATCTACACATATCATTAAGCCTTTATATAGTATGCCGACTTGCTTTGGACTCAACTTATATATTACCACTCAACTCGCTTAGTATGTTATTTTTATTTCGAGCGTTGACAAAGCTACTGGAGTAGTCGATCTAAATATTTAGTCTTTATCAAGCTATGAAATCACGTGGTAAGATACAATTAAATACATAACAGAAGCTCAAGTAGTGGCTTATGATAAACCAAGAGGATTGAAGATACACAGATTAGCCAATTGTGGAACATATGTTAATGTTTTTATTTGGTTGTTCTAGTATATCTGTTGTTAAATGTTTATTTGGTACGTTTCATATATTTTTTTTTCTATTCTATTTGCTGTCACGAATATAATCTTCTATTATGGCGTGCCTCCTTTTTGCCCTCACTGTATCTTCTCAATCTCCACTCTTCCATTATTTTCACGCATAATATTTTTATCTACTTATTTTTGATATTGTAAATACTTATTTAATATTTTTTAATTCATTGAATATATATATATATATATATATATATAATTTAAATTCAATGAATCAAAAATGAATCAAAATACTAAATATTTTGTTAAAAACATTGAAATTTAACAATTTTAAAAACTTTAATTATCGTAACAAAATACATATAACATAAAATCATAAGCATTTGAGTAATTTTTATATAGCTACTTTGAATAAATAATTATTTACTTATTGACTTTCAAGCAATCAAAAACATACCTACATAAGAAATATGTAGATACGTCAATAATAAAGCTTGATTTAAGCACGATACAATATACCGTATAAACCTTAACCGTTTTGCAGTAATGCTATAATGTTATAATGATATATTGCAAATATTGTCAAAAATATTTGATTTGATTTGACTTATTCGGATTCGGAAATAAAATAATAAAATAACATTGCAGTACACACACACACACACACACCCACACACTAATAGATTCATAGCTTTAATTTTGATGATAAAGGGTATCTATAGACCCTATAGCTGTCTCTTATACACATCTAGATGTGTATAAGAGACAGGCCTGAATTCAGCTTTATTATTGACGTATCTATTTACGTAGCAATTGTGATTGTTAGATCTGATATGGTAATAGAAATAAAGAGGCAGCACTCTGAGACTTAATTTAAGATATTTAATCAGAACGAAGAAGCTTTAGCTAAAGCCACAAATAAACCACGAGAAACGCTTAAGCCTATAACATACAAGACGAATGAGAAAAATCTTCGTATTCCTCTTCACGTCCTCTTGTCAAAATTATTACGACGCATGTACTGTGGCACTTTGAAATAATATTCACACTTTGTAATACCTTGTAACAAAGTTGTCGAACTTTGTAAAACCTGTCGCACTTTTGTAACAATCTGAGCTGTCGCACTTTGTAATATACTCTGCTGCACTTTGTAATAACTTGTTTCAATCTTATACGCTTTCAGTCTCTGATACAGAAATTAATTTGTGGAAATATAATTAGTGTGCATTCGTTATACACTACAAGGTCAAAGGTAAAATCGACATAAAATCACAAAACAATGCATCATTACTAATAGACAGAATAAATAGCCAAATACTTTTAGTAATATATAAACAACAGAATTAATAATTCTGCGTAGCAGCCTCCGACACAATCAGGAAGGCTCACCAATTCGATCGACCAATTAGCATCACCAAAAGCTGTCGGTGATTGTGTAGCGATTGTATGGAAACAAAGTTTAATAATATGATTTGTTTTTCAATTTGTCAGATAAAATGTAAACAAATTGTTCAGCTGATCATCATTGAATGAGACATATTAATTATCTGGTAGTTTTGAGATGTGTTAATTGGCTTTAAACCAGTATTTTCCGGGATTCACTTTCAATCAACTGTTGTATGGCTTGGCTGAAAATAAACAGTAACACAAATAATATTTGGCTAATATTTTCGCAGCAAACTGACTGGACGAAATTTGCAAAATGTTTGTATGGCTACAGAAGTGAGTATCTGTTAGTTGTGTAACAATCGGATACTGTTAAACTGATCACCGAAAATGATAAATTATTATTTACCAGATCTCTATACATAATAGGCCGTCTGGTATGATCAATATAGTCTGGCTACAATTTAACAGTAACAACAAGATAATTTGCATAGATTTTGGGGATCGCTGTCCATAAAGTTCCGTACCTGCTGTATTACAATGCTGTACTACATTGAAAACACCGGTTCAGATTGTCCGATCACCCAAGTTAAGCAACGAAGGGGTCTTGTAGGCCTACTTTGCCAAAATACCGACTAACACCGGGTGCTGTAGTCTTCATTCATTTTCCCTACAATTCAGTTTCTGTGTTGAAATTGGTTTTTGAATACCGTTACTTAACGCACCTTTTTAACAAATTCAGTAAAAGATCAAACTTTGACCAATGAGTGCCCATCGTCAGAGCGCTATCATATGTTACATTGTAACACGTCTTTAGCT